AACACACGGTTTAATACTGTAAATGTTAACTTAATATAGTTTTTAATAGTAACAGTAATACAGAAGTACTTTAAAATTTAATGTTTGCTCCGTGCCAACTATTATATTAACTTTGTTGAATATTTAATTTTGGTATTAAATGTCCGACGCATACAATTATGCTATGCTTGACGTTATATTATATAACTTACATATTTCCCCATTTTAACTTTCAAACATATTACAAACTTTAATTGTGATATACATTAAAATAACCCTTTTAGCGATTAATATGTATTTCAAAAACAGTGATTTGAACAATTTTAGAAAGTTGCATTATGCTATTCGATTTATTATAATCTCAATCATTTAAAATGATTCATTTTGCTCTAAAAATAGCCTGTATTGTTTTATGTCATCTAGCTGGAATAGTAGAAATACTTTAAATATGAGATTTATTTGTCACAAATGATAAAACTGTATGAAATTATTTCATGAGATAAGCCGCGGATAATCGGACGAAATTAGGGTAACTTTTTAAGTAAAGTTAATTAATCTTCAAAAATCTATATACAGTCAAACCCCTGCACTGTATTTATAGAGAGTAAGCGAGTGTAGAGATGAATGTCTCATCAATAGTATGATTATAATGAATGCATTACTAATAACAACCTTATAGTAAATGAACGCTACTATCATTTGATTGACGTTTAATTCAATTGTGTTTTAATGTCATTGTATTGAAGGCTTTATTAGATTAACAAATAGATAATATTGTGATAAGGATTGACTCAACACAAACACTGTTACCAATTATGAGTTTGGGTCGAGAGATAGGGTTCAGGCCTTCAATGAATTGACTGGCGTTTTGTTAAACCTATTGAGGGATTATAAAGAGTGTGTTAATCGTAACGTTGTTTTGTATGACTTGTTTGCACTTTAAATATGGGTATGGATTGAGTGAATGACCCAATTGTGAGACCTTTTAACCAGAGCTCCAGAAATGACAACAAATGGTAAAAATAGTGATAATTATTGACATATCTCTCAATGGATGACAATTTTATTGCAGTGAAAGTGGAGTCGAAGACCGTCTTCGGCGGTAATGGCTGTCAGTCGTCGTCAATGAGTGGCGCGAATGGGATGGAAGTGATGGATGTCGTGGATGTGGTGGCGGCCAGTGTTGAGGCCAATGATTACATCGGGAGTCGAGTCGTGTCCGGCAAAGAGCGCCTCTTCTGCAAGTGGACGGACTGTCGCTACGAATCCAATCAAAAGAGTTGTATCTCAAGACATATACTCAACAAACATCTGAACCCAAATAAAGCCAATCCTTTCGACTCATACGACGAGACCAAGTATTGGGAGAAGATATTGAACTCAACCAAGAGTTTACTCAAAAGATCGCACCCGAAGACCACTCCGGAGGTGAAACCGGTGGCACCGCCTGAAGCGGAAGCCGTAGTTGAAGAATCGCTTCCCGAACCACCAGTTCTCACACCATTCGACTCTGAGATGACCTCCGATGGCATCGACGAGACATTCTTCGACGACAGTCAATGGTTGGATCAAATGTCGATGGATTCACTGCAGGCAATGATTCCGCAAAAGGGAGTCTCTGTTTGGGATAATAACGATGGCGTGAATGTGGGTTTGGATGAGTCGGATGTCCAGAAGAATCACTTGAATATCAGTAATAACGAGGAGAATGTGTTATTGAGTTGTAAAGGATTGGTGAGTGTTATGATTGGATTGTTTGAATGATTGGATTAATTGATTGCTTGTGATGTGTGTTAGGCGTCGATGTCTAAAGTGAGGCAATACTATGAAAGTCAGGTTTTGGACGGAGAGAAGTATTTTCTCTGCAAATGGAAGAGATGTGAGTTTAAGACTAAGAAGAGTCAAAAGATCGCTCAACACATAAACCTATCACACATTGGAGTGGAATTCAAGTGCAATAAACCTAATTGTAATAAAGTATTCAAAAACCCGAATACATATCGAGAGCACCAGAAGAACCACATCTGCGGGTTTGGGATCTTTGGTTACGGATCCAAAGGTGTGATTGGCGTCTGTCGTAATGAAAACCTCAACAGATATCGAGAGCGGGTTATCATTGACTCGAAGAAGTTTTATCGATGCAAATGGGATAACTGTAATGCCATCACTCGATATCATATGGCTATGAAAAGGGTATTTGTTTGACATAAACTAACTTTTTGACTAAATACTAATGAATTGTTTTTATTTATTTGATTCGTATGAATGTTTGTTTGCAATGAACAGCATTTACACGGGTATGTAATCCTTGCAATCCTTATAATTATTAACAAACAAAATACTTATCTAATGTTGATCTCTATTGTAGTCACGTCTGTCCCTATAGAGTGAATCTGAAGCTAAAACAGAACCAACAGGTGATCAGTGATATGAAGAGTGACAACTGGAACCTCGATCTCGGGTTGGGTTTTTGAATACTTTATTACAATTAGGTTTATTGCACTTGAATTCCACTCCAATGTGTGATAGGTTTATGTGTTGAGCGATCTTTTGACTCTTCTTTGTCTTAAACTCACATCTCTTCCATTTGCAGAGAAAATACTTCTCTCCGTTCAAGACTTGACTTTCATAGTATTGCCTCACTTTAGACATCGACGCCTAACACACATCACAACCAATCAATTATTCCAATCATTCAAACAATTCAATCATAACACTCACCAATCCTTTACAGCTCAACAATATGTTCTCCTCATTATTACTGATATTCAAGTGATTCTTCTGGACATCTGTTTCATCCAAACCTTCATTCACGCCATTCTTTTCTAAAGCAATGTTTCTCTTCTGGGGAAGAATCGACTGCAACGAAGCCATCGACAACTGTTCCAGCCATTGATTATTGAAAATTGGATTCCAATTGGGTGTCGACTCTATACTAAACGGGAGGACCGGCTCTAAAAGTGGCGGTAAATTAAGATTCTGATCGCCGTTTGGATTAGATCTTTGAAACCAATTATTGTGTGGAAATAAAATCTTTTCCCAATATTTGGTTCCTTCGTATTTGTCGATGGCTTCCAATGGATTCATTTGTTCCGCATTCAAGTGTTTGTTCAAAATATGTTTCGTAAGAATGCTTTTATGACTGGAATCAAAGCGACAGTCCGTCCATTTGCAGAACAGCCGCTCTTTGCCGCACACGTCCTGCCGATCGATATACTGATCCAAATCATACAGATCTTTGCCGACCAAACCATTTGATTGGTTTGAATCCATTTCAGTTTTAATGTTTACTTTCA